TTTGTGTGGGGTAAGCTCTACACAAAGAGTCTAAAGAACAAGTCACACAGATGTGAGATGAGAGGGGGCGAGTAAAGGCAGTGGGAAGACAATGGCCTGAGGTTAATCAACAGGAAAAGTGTTTCTGTCCTTTATCTGAGTTGCTGAGATGAGACACTCGACATGGATTCAGGCAGTTCAGGGACTTCAGATGCTTTGTATTCAGAGACAACCCTCTCATTGCATATGTGCTTGTTTACAGCTCAGCTCCCTCATTTTCATTCCTGCCTTGCTTTGGGAACTTTACTGTGGACTGGTGCAGGGTGGGACAGAGTGAATGCTGTCCCCAAATCTACAGCCACTGCACACACCCCACTCGTGCTCCGCTCTGGTTTTTTTGATGAAGTTTAAAAAATGTCATTAATGAACCATCAATGAAGGGTCTGCCATTCCAAGTGGCAGATGGAATAGAACTGACTCAGCTGGATGGGGAGTCAGGAGATGAGGGGGGAACATGGAGCACTAACACGAGCTCGTGAATTCCACCAGTTGATGTCCTATCCTGGGACTTGCTCTTTCCTCTTGTTCCACAACAGAAAGGCACAAATAGAAGGATTGCACCTGAGATCTGGAGCCTGCTCTGCTCTAACCACACCAGGCAGCACACCCCCTTTAAGTGCAAACCAGTGCTAACTGTGCAGATCTCCTCCCCACCGGGTATATCCTCAGTCTCTAGGTGTCAGAGACTTTGCTCTGATAGGTGTCAGATCACTTTGCTCTAAGAAACCTGCTCTGTATTTATGCTCTACATTTCTTCTGACAGGTTTCTAGAAAGCATTTAATCAAACTCTTCCATTCCTACCAACAGAGGCCTGCAGCAGCAGTCTTGCCAGCTGCACACCAGACTGAACACCAAGGGGCAGTTCAAAAGAGCTTGGAACAGGGGAGGATAAAGGAAAGGAAATTTTCCTCTCCTAAACCCTGGGAGATAGTTAGGGGGTAAAAAAGAAAAAAAAAAAGGCTATGTTGTTTCAGGAAAAAAATATTTCAATCTTTTGGGAAGAAACGATATGTGGGATTTAGGAAATCTGTATGTAATTGTAAGAAAGAATGGTGACTCTGCCTCAGTGCTGTGGGAAATCAGATGCTTTAATGGAGAAATAGAAAGAGGTAGATTTAAAAGCAACAGGAAAGCAAACTTTCCCTCAAAACCTCAACTCGCTTTCGTTACCACTATACAAATGACAAAAGATGTTATGACAATGTTTGTGGGTTTATTGTTTTTTTATTTTAGAGCTGCCTTTGTCCAGTAACCCGTGCAGAAGCACATGTCATTTTTAATCTTCAGCCTATCTCCCTTTCAGCACCATCCTTTTATTGGATTCAAAACTCAGCAGGGACTTAGATGCTTCCCAGACCAAATACCTTTCGTCCCCTACTTCTTCTTCAATCACCACTGAACAAATAAAACATCTCCTGACTGAATCCAGCCAGGGCACTGCTGGCCATTGCCAGCACACTGTTTAAATAACAAGTCAGGAGTTTTACAAAGGACTCTCATTCCCTCTCAGAGGCTGCTATAACAGCACACCAACGAGGGAAAATCCATGACAAACCTATTTGGGTTTTTGCATTATCAGCAATTTGGGTTTCTGAATTATCAGCAACAATAAGGGAAAAATATGATTCAACAGAAGCATTTCAATATTTTTGTTTTATTTTGTTTTGGTTTTTTTTAACAATTCTTTTTCTTCAGCTTGACTGGTATTACTGACAGCAGGTTTCCTCCTATGGAAAACCCCTGCTTTACTAGTGTGAGAGTGGGATTCGATGGGATGATGAGGCTGAGTCAGTGGGAACTGCCTGTGTGCACCTCTGGGATGGATCAAACCTTGGCTATGAATGAGAACACACAGACCATGAGATTCACAGCAGTGTGGGCACATTTAACAATGACATGGGAAGTGCCCTGAGCTAATCTCACCAGATCCTGCCTTGAAGATCAGTGCATTTCTACAGAACACTTTGTGCACAAATTCTACATTTTTTATTCTCAGCATACTTCTTTTTGTTTGTGAGCTTGTTTTGTTCTGCATGGTAAACACAGTATGGCCCTCACAGTTTTAAGACCACCTACCTTTAGACCTTGAGAAACTAATGTTGACTTAGGAGGGATCTCAATGACTCATTGGCATTCAGTCAGAGTGCCAACAACAAGCAAGGCCTCTCCTTCATTTTCTATTATTTAGGTGCTAAATGAAATGTTTACAGGCTTATTTTTTGGCACAGCCAATAAAGGATCGGTTCATACGTGACAGAACTGGAGAAAATGAGATTAGAATAAGTCTTCACAGTAAAAAGGAGGCCCTGGTTGAGTTTTCCTTCCTTCCCAGTTGTGTTGGGGGTCTCATGGGCACAAATGGCAGATGATTCCACTACTTCTTGCTGCATCTGAGACTTCTGACCCTCAAAATAGGTGTGGGGTTCCTTAGATTTCAGGGCAGGAGAACATTTCCGTGGGTTGTGAATGGAGGACAGAAGGTTGCATAAAGAACTGAGGAAGAACAGAACCGGGGACAGGACAACATAGAACAGATTTGGAATAACAGGGACTAGATCCAGTTCTTTCCCACTTCAGCCCAACTGAGGACTAAGCTTCCCAGCAGTGCAGCAGCTCCCTGGGCTGGGGCAGTAGTGGTGAGGTTCATCTCCAACAGAAGAACATCCATGTCAGTACCTGATCACCAAAGCAACACTCTTTGCCATGGCAACCAAATATTTCACCTGCTCTTAAAACCCCCAACGTGGGAGACCCCACAGCCTTCCAAGCAGTTGTGTTCCAATACAGCAGGTGTGCTCCAGTCTCCTCCTTCAGACAGCACTGCTTTGGGACTCTGCACTGACAGAGCTAAGGAAAACCAAGCAGGTGGTGGGTGAGAAGTACAAAAATATGGAGCAGTTGTAGAATTTGAATCTTTCTGGAGGTCTCCTCTATCTTCACCTTCAGTAGGCACTCATGGAGTGAGGTGGATGGATGGAGTGGGGCAAGAAAAAGGAACTGACAGATTCCCACTTTGGGTCAAGATGTGAAACTATCAGATTGTATTTTTTTTTTGCCAGGAGTTACCTAAATTCTCTCATTTCACGCAATTAGTAGGTGCCTTCTTCCACCCAAACTAAAACAGGCAAAGAAAAAAACCCTAAATAACTGGAATTGATTGTCAAAACTGATTTGTTCTTGGGGCACTTTGTGATGAAGATGTGCCAAACCTAGAATTTGACTAGAGGCAACCTGTAATGAAACATGAATCTGGGCTGCCTTCACTGGAGCATCTCTGGAACTTTGGAAAGCAGATGTGGCTCGACAGACACTGAGGTATCTCATGCTGGTTAATGCTGGCTGGACACTGGACATTTTTTGCGTGATACAATGGGAATTTGAAAAGGCAGACTATCTTCATTCACAGCATGCACAGGAAAGTGTTTAATTGCTGCTTCTCAGTTGTTGTTTTCAATGCTGAAGCTGACTGCAAAATTTAAATCTTCGAGTCAAAGTTTAAATACCACAAGAACAATTTAAAATAGATCAGCTGGGCCACTTCTGTGTTGAAAGCTGGATACATTTATACCATCTTATCTAATTGTTTTTGTGTTATTTACTCAAGCATTTATAAAAGATTGAGCATAAAAGCAGGGAATATAATTACAATGAATAATTTGCATTCTTTATTCAGTGTAAATTAATTCAGGTCTCCAAGCACTATGGGAATTAGCTTTATATGCACAGTAGAAGGCTTGAAATAGAAGTTTAAATTGATGCATCATAAAAGTTCCCATTGAATGTTTTAAAGTTTTTTTTCTTCCCATTAGCATAGATTATTCTGTTTATAGATACTGGAGTGCAAGAAGATTTGTATTGTGAGTAGAAAAGGCCTTGTTAGGAATGTTCAAGAGGAAAACTTTGCCTAAGACTTTGTAGGGATGCTACACTCCAGGAAAACAGGAATTCTTTCACTGAGGTCACTGTCAATAATCAAGCTGTAAACCTGGGGAGGGGAGGGAGAGAATTCCTCCACAGCAGTTAATCCTCTGCTATCAGAATAAGGTTTCTCTCAAGGATTAGCACTGCATGGCACTCAGTGGAGGTGGTTCTAAATTCAGTTGAACTCTTCTAGACAACACAGCACAAATAGTACAGAAATACCAGTCAGGTAATCCAAGAAATAACGCAGAAATAACCCACCAGGCCACTCCCTATGAAAATATATCCCCGTGACTCAGGCTTTGTGCCTACAATACATTTGGTGACTGATGCACATCTACCTGTTCCTTTCCACTACTTTTCCTTTCCTCCTGTCCTCTCTCTTTTCCCTGTATTCCTAATTTTCAGTTACATATCCACTGGACCTGCCAAACTCTCTTCTGCACCCTGACCCAGGGAAGTGTTTCTATGCAGTCTCCTTGATTTGCATTCGTTGTTTCTTGGGGACTGGTGGGGATTAAGCTCCTCTAATGATGTTCCTCCTGTTATTTAAGAAAACTTCTAAGCTTTTAATGAAAGAAAAATCGAAATTAACCCAAAGCAAAATAGAAAGATTTTGTTCTATCTCCTTTGGGTTTAGATCTGGGCATTATCTGGCAGGGAATGTAAAATGCCTCATGTTATCATGCACTGCCTTACATTAAAGAAAAAAAAAAAGAAAACTTGCCCCCAAAACTCGCAACTTGACACGCTCAAATCTCGGTTTCCCTTAATGAAGCACTCTGTGCTCACCAAAACTTTTGTGCTGCATCAATAAATCATGCACAGTTCTCTCCCTGAACACAAACTTCAGCTTTAGGCTTCAGCTCCTACGCACAGAAGGCTCCAGCACAGCATCAGTCAACAAAACCAAGGATGCGCTCGGGAGCGTCAAAGCCATGACCAGTTTTCCAGACCTGGACAGAGTTATCAGAGGGCTTTGAGCAGCCCAGTAAGTGTCACCCACGGAAGTTAGAAGCATGCAAAACACATTACTCACCTCAAGCACAAGAAAAGCATAAAGGCAACTATAAGGGCCCCTACTGAAATACAGTGCCCCAGGTAGTTTATGATGAGAGCAATCTTGTAATGGAGCGCATACTTCCTCTGGAGGTAAAGAGATAACAGGATTAAATCAGCATGAATCTCTAAGCACTGACATCAAGGAACAGTTAATCAGTTTAGAAAACAGTAATTACTTTTCTCAACCTTACAATGATGTAATAGCTCCAGGGCTGATGCCTATATATAAGCCAAACATATTGCCCAGGCATAGAAGTACAGGCTTGGTGGAGTTTCAGTGTGGGCTTTGACCTCAGTTTATTACAAATATCTGCAAAAGAAGTTATTTTCTCCCCGTTTCTTTTTTCTTTTTTTTTTGTTTTCCCTGCAATTTCATCAGGATTTCTTGTTTTCATTATCATGCTATTTTAAAACTTCGTCATTTCAGGGCTACAAAGCTACCAAAGACACATCTTCTCAGAGTTTCAAAAGTTATAAAACATTATTTTCTTAGGAAACAGCACGGTCTTTAGGAGCCAGGTTATGCCACTTTCCTGCTCAAATGGTTTGGTTTTCATACAGAAAATTCAGTTAGGAGAAGTAATAAAGCCTTCCCATACAGGCAGATTTTCCTCTGAGGGACATTCTTTGCAAGCTACGGTCTTTATCCTTCCAACTGAGGGCAGAACCAATGCAGCCTGAAAGAGCTGGAATCTGGTGGTGTCCCTGCAGTTCTGAGAGAGCCTGACAAACCAGAGATCCTGTTGTTTTTAGCATCAACCCAAGAATGTGATGGAACTTCATGTGTTGGTGTCTGTTTCCTAGGATGGGGGGAGATTATTGGTAGGTTCTAGATCCTGCAAACAAAAAATTAAGTACCAAAGAGCTCCCACCTAAACCAGTGAATTTAGGGGCATGACCAAAAATCTGGCCTTGCAGTAACTGGAATGTTCTTTATTGGTGGGCTGCTGCTGGTTTCAGAAAAGAGAAGCATCTCCTTTCTTTCCCCGATGGATAGAAAGAAGTAGAAAAACACTATTCAGATAAATACTGAAGCTGGTTAAAAAGGGACAGAGGTTTGCTACTGAAAGAACCAATCCTCCTGAAAAACATATTCATTTATTAGGTTTGGCATTTGTTTCTTTTCAGGGTAAGCAGATCTTTCCCCAATTTGGGATGTTGTCCTCCTTCAGAAGAACGAGACCCTTGAGAACTAACCACCTACATTTCCTCCCTTGTGACAAAAATATAAAAGCAAAATCCTACAAATGGCACCAGTTTTCTAATTTTAGTTGAACTTCCTTTTTCCATTTTTTTTTTCTTAGCAATTTCCCTTAACATTTTATTCCAGTCAAAGGAATTTGTCAGTGAATGAATGTTTGGCTGAAACTACAACCAGCAGCTGTAGTTAATCTGTTCCATTGTTCTGTGAAGATAGCATCTTCCAGCACTTTGCCAAAAAACTCTCTTGGAATCATTTCTGTGATGAAACCTGCCTATATCTTCAGCACACGGAGTAATGTGCTGCTTCTGGACAGAACTCAACCATGCAAGGTATTTTTAAGTCCATTATAAAATCCCCTAAAATAAACTTCCCCATCCACGGGCCCATTTTGTGAATCGCCTCGAGGAGAAAAGAAAAAAAAAAACCAGCAAAACAAACTTACAAAATCCAAATTCCACAATGAGTTTTATTTATCCTTAAGACATAGGGACACTTAAAGGGAAGGAAAACACACTTGACCTGATGTGGCTACCTGTGCAGTGTTGTATTATTCAGGGAGTGCCCTGGTAAACTGCATGGCTTAATTATTCTCCTGCTTAATTCATAAAGTCATGGAATCACAGAATATCTCAAGTTGGAAGGGATCCATAAGCACCATTGAATCCAAATCACTACTTCTTGCAGGACTTCCTAAAACTAAACCATATGACTAAGAACTTTCTTCAGAATTGCTCATGTAGTGCTAGATATCTTCTGGAAGATGACAACATTTTTCCCAGGACAACGATCCTACTCTTTGAGTCTGACCCTTCAGCTCCTTCCTGTGGCTCCTGACCACTGTTTCAACTTCACTCAAGTTTAAAGAGGGCATAGTTCAAAGCATTAGAAGACTAGTTGGAAAAATAAAATTATTAAGCTCCTGTTTGATGCACTGATGCTGAAGGGAAAACAGGCACGACTCTCGTATTTTCAGTTTCTGGCACTAACAAGGCTTCCTGAAGGCAAATTCAAACATCATAGAAACAAAAACTGCCTCAGTGCCTATGAAAAACTAAGTTGACAGGGTGGCAAGATCGCTTTCCACCAGCCTACATGCAATCTGCATCTCTGGTGGAACTGAAGACGGCACCTTCAGGGCTGAAAAACACGTGCTCAGAATCAGTCATGTGTTGGCCAAAGCTCAGTTCATGTAAAACACTTTCATAAGTCTTTTCTGTCTCGCCCTTGTGAAGACCAATACATCTAAAATGTCAACAACCTTCTACTGTTACCCAATATTCTTCTGCTTCCAGGAAGATGTTTCACTTCACTGAAATGAAAATATAAATTCTATTCAGGCTTAGGAGGAGGGTTTTTACATAAAAAATTAGCTAGAAAAGGAGATTGTAGAATCACAGGATGGTTTGGGTTGGAAGGGATGTTAAAGGTTGTCTTGTTCCAACCCCCTGCCGTGGGCAGGGACACCTTCCACTAGAGCAGGTTGTTCAGAGCCCCATCCAACCTGGCCTTGAACATTTCCAGGGATGGGGAATACAAAGATGGTCTGCACACCAGTAGCCTTGCTCTCTGATCACAGCAGGTCACACCAGTGGAATCCTCCTCCATTACACACAACAATCATGTTACACCAGACAGGGCAGAGGTGTCTCCCACCAGCTTCTACCAGGTAAGCTGAGGAAGCACAGCTTTATATCTTTACCTGCACCAGCCCTGCAAACCTAAGACATGGTGGGCTCCCTGCAGCCAGATTTCAGGTAATTGTGGAGTTGTTCTGTCTAGAGCACTTTTCCCCTTGCTTCAGCCAGAATGTGACTGCCAACCTGTCCAAACCAATTCAGCTAATGATTTGACTGAATGACCACCTAATGACAGCACTCTTTAGTCCAGTTGACAAGGATTTTTCTCCCTGTAACAGAACTTACTGGCAGGTCCTGCCAGTGTTTACAGCTCATGTCTCCCTGTGGGGCTCTGCACTCCACTGCCAGTTCAGTCACTTTAGATTTCTTCCTGTTGCCAGCATGATCTCATCACCAGCACGGTTTAAAGACACCACATCTCCTCTCCAAAGACTTTCAGAAGCCACTGGGAAGTATCTTTGTCATCCAAGATGCCTCTGAGTTGACTGCTTTCCTGTTCTGAGCCAGCTGGAAGCTGCATAGCTGTGCCTGGTGTGGCTGTGCTCCTATGCAGGATATATTAGCTTAAGCCCAGCATGGTGCTAACTCAGCTACACAGCTTGAAGCCACCTCAAAACATCAGCAGAACCAAATTCATATCCAGCTGACATAGGCCACATAGACAAGACCAAAATTCCTAAATTATAGCTCTTTTTGGAGGCTAAGATGTATTTTTTTTTTTGCTGCCTGAGACTCTCATTTTATTTCTAACAAGCACAGATCTGTGCCCGATGCAGCAAAAGTCCTTTTGACACAGGAGCTTGTAGGCTGAGTAGAATTTTTGCATTTGTCACACGCTGTGCCATCAAGCAGCCAGTAGGATCAAACTTATTTCTGTACCTTATTCTTGTGCCCTGAGAAGGAGCCAACTATTTGTTCAGAGGGTGAGATTCAGTCTGACATTAGGGCACCAACATCTGGGTATCTACCCAACATCAGAAGCAAGGGAAAGAAGTAGTGCACACACAGACATCAGTGACCCTTGAGGTGCACTCAGCAGACTCTGCTTCCCAGCTGGCCCTGGTGACTGACCTCCAATTGCTGCTGTTTAATCATGGAATTATTAAGGCTGGAAAAGGCCTCCAAGATCGAGTCCAACCGTTCACCCAGCACCGCTGAGTTCACCACTAAACCATGTCCCCAAGGGTCACACCCATGTGCTTCTTGAACACTTCCAGGGATGGTGACTCCACCACTTCCCTGGGCAGCCTGTTCCAATGCCTGGCCATCATTTCAGTGAAGAAATTGTTCCTAATATCCAATCTAAACCTCCCCTGGTGAGGCCATTTCATCTTGTCCTGTCACTTTGTTACCTGGGAGAAGAGACTGACCCCCACCTGGCTACAACCTCCTTTCAGGCAATTGTGGAGAGTGATGAGGTCTCTCCTGAGCCTCCTTTTCTCCAGGCTGAACACCCTCAGCTCCCTCAACTGCTCCTCATCAGACTTGTGCTCCAGACCTTTCCCCAGCTCCGCTGCCCTTCTCTGGCCATGAAGGACCTGAGGGGCACAGGTATTCCAAAGGACTGTCACCTGCCAGGTACATGGAGACACACAGGGGCATTTTAAACTACAGGACACAACTCCACACAGGGAATTAGATCCCAGCCAAAATGGGAATCTACGAGCAAATCAGTCCCAGAGTGGAGTTTTATCAGCTGCTGCCACAGGTCTCGACCACAAGCAGAGCCATGATGTGTTGATGTAATCCAGGGAATGTGTGTTACTGAGCTGATGCCCCCTGAGATTGACCCACAGCTGACAAATCCCTAAAATTTCCCTTGCTACGTGATCAAAACTCTGCCATAAAGCAGGTAGAGCTGGGCATGGGACATGTTCCTGTCCCATCTATCAATCACTGAATTCAGAATCAAACCATCTGATTCTTCAGCACTCTGGCTGTGAGTGGCCAAGCTTGACAGCAGTGTTGTTTCCTGTATTAAAAATAAACACAAATCACAGGGCACACCTCCAGGCTGATGCTTAGCATCTGCAAGGCTCAGTCAATAAATCACAGGAGAAACATGTGTGTGCCTGAATCTCACCTTTAATCAAATCCCCAGAGAAATCTATGGGGATTTTTTTTCCTAGTTTTTTTGGAGACCACAAAGCAAGTATTCATCTATAACACTGAGCATTAGGAGAGATTTAAAAAATATTCACAAATATTAATATCTGCAAAGCTTGTTGCAAATCTTTGAAGATCTAACAAATGAGTTTTTAAGCTTCTATAAGCAAGGGTGGGGGAACATCTGCACTTTCATCTGTTTAAGAAACACGCTATTTGAGTAGTTTTAAGCTATCACCATAGCTGCAAAGTTTTTAAAAGCAAAAACAGAGCACAGGAAATAATCCTGTCCTCTAGTCACAACACTTCTCCAGCCTTTTCAAACAAAACTCCTCTGTGTTTGCTGGTGCAGAGATAGCAACTGCTGGAGCCATGCAAACACATAAGGAGGGCCATTAAAATGCAGCAGCACTTTCCTGAGCGGGTGCAGCACACTGTTATCAGCTCAGGTTTCCTGTACCAGCTAAACCACATCAAAGATATGGAGCCTTCACCCAGCTCTGCTCCCCATTCTCTAAACCAGCTCTGGCTGCTCCACACTCCCCCTCTTGCTCATTTTTAAGGGGGTGGTTTCACAGATGTGCAGATCCCTTTCAGGCAGAGCTGGTCGGTGTGTCCCCCTCAATCCCACCCACACTCTCACTGCCCCGTGCCTGGGCTGGCCCCAGCACTCCTGCAACAATGCAACAAAATGCTGTAGGGAACTGAATCATCCAAAAAAACCGACCCAGCAAAAAGTTAGTTTTTCATTTTAAGTGGGAAAGAAATGTAAGGAGGGGCTGCCCTGGGGTGGTCCTTACTTAGGTCAGCTTAAATTGCCATGAGAGCATCATCACTCTGCTGGATCACCTGGAACATCCCTCTGGATGGCACTCAGGTATTGGTACATTTTTTCCTAATTTCTAGAAGCCTCCAGCAAAAGGAAGGAGGATGGGGTGCCACCAAATAATTTAGCTAGTGGGTAAGAGCAGGTCCTCCTCAGCAGCTGGTTTGTAGTTACCTGTTTTCTGAGTCACTGGTTCAAAGCCCACATTGAGCAAACACATTGATCTCACAGGATGGATGCTGGACCTAAGACAAAGCACATCCTGACTGTTTGGGGTACAGCACTACTCCAGATAGTTCCTGAGTACTAAATGTGGGATCTTGTCCACCTCCCCTCTGCAACTGGCACAGCACAACTACAACCACGGAATGAGCTGGATGTTTTGGGAAAACATCCATCCCAAAACTTAAACAGACCTGAGCTGCTGAGCTCCACCCTGATTCTTAGAGTCACCCCTGGCAGAGACAGCACGAGGACTGTGTGTGCTCCTGCCCCACCACAGCACTCAAAACAGGAGGGAGAGGAAGAGAACCTGGTGTGAAAGGCTGGAAGGCTTGAACTGTGTGAGGGTGAATGTCTGCCATGCCTCCAAGAAAAGCTGAGACATTTGACAAGAAAAGGGCTTTGCATAATTGCTTGCAGCCTTTTGGAAGGAGCTTAACCCCATATGCTAATTGCAATCTGTAAACTCCTATATCATGCAAGACTGGTTCAATCTTTTAAAGGCAGCTGAGGCCTGAGTCTGCTTTTTATGTATTTTTCTTTTGCTGCCTCTTTACATATTTGCTTAAGGAGAAATGACATTGAGATCTGTAAAGGTCAGTTGTTGATGAGACCTCAGAATGGACAGATACAGGGTGGAATCAGCTGGTTAAACTTATTTTTTAGTGCCAAAGAGGCTTTTGGTCTTAATGTTATCATTACTAACATTTACTGTAGCATCTGTAGGCTCTGAACAAAGCTAAGAAAAATCTGCATAAACATACATCAGCAGGGACAGAGTGTGATAAAAAGCATCCTTTTTTAAAAACCATGTGAGTAGGGGATATGGAGAGAGGACAAGTGATTTGCCTGAATTCACAGGGAGGTTTTGTTGCAGAGACAGAAATGGAATCTCTCTCAGAAGTCCCAAATTAGCATGTTAACCTTAAGTTTAGCTTTGCATTCACGTATGAGAAATGTCATTGAGAAGAATGAAGGTAAAAATACAGACCTTGTCATCCAGAATAGGCTCACACTGAGAGTAGTTTATCTTGGAAGCCCATGTCCCATTGCCCAGGCATTCTCTGTAGGCATTTCCTGGTACAGACCAAAATAAAAGAGAGATGAACAGTCTGTGATGGACTTTAAACAGCCTAGAAATCTCACAGATCTGAGAAAAGATTAACAGAACAGATTATTTACAAGGCAAATTAACTTATCCCACCTCCGTGAGGACTAGAACAGCCCACTGAGGAGAGAAATAAATAACATGAACACAACTACAGACTACAAGTATTTAAAGATATTGATTGATAATGTTTTCTTACAGTCTATGAGTTCAGAAGACAGAAAAGGTATGAGAAGAACGTTGCAAGAGAAAGCTTAACATTGGTATAGTCTTTTAAAAAGCAACTATACTCAAAACCAGAGAGGTTCAGGGGTTCAGTGCCCCCTCTGTGAGAATGGTTTGTGCGTGGTGAACTTACTGCTCTACCCCCCTTCCATTTATCCCACTGCAAACCAGACGAAACATTCCCGGAGATGCTGATTTTCTGGAGTCTTCCTGTGCAACACTATTGCTGGGAAAACTTCTGCAAAATACATGAGGAGCAAGATCAGCACATCTCCCAAACCTGGGACAGGTAGGATGGGGGGGAGCACACAAGAATCCACCCAGAATTATTTCAGAAATGGGTCCCTCCAGGTTAGGATGTGTTCACCCATGGTCTGTGGAAAAGAAACCACTTCTGGTCTTTTTCCAAGGTTCCAGTTCTCCCCAAATGTAAGTGAAAATCAGAAATTGCTTTACTGAAGCAGAGAGATTTCATGTCCAATTGCAATGTAACCCCGAGGAGCTCTGAGAACTGCATGTAATAATATTGGGGGTGAGGAGGGGAGTTCAATTTCTGGCAAGAATTCCTCTTCATCCCAAGGAACTCCGAGGGAAAACTATGCATTTTTGCTGTACAAACTACCTTCCTCCACTCATCAAAAGTACATCCAATTCGAAGCAATATTTTTTTTTTTACATTCTTATTTTGAACTGTTTCTTAGAAACAAGAGAATTAAAATAAAACAGGAAATTCAGAAGGATCCCCAAAGGACAAATACAGGCGACTTCCCTAATGAACTCTTCATGATGTTCCTGCTGCCCTTTATCCAGTTTCTCCTTGGGCCTTTGCCATGGTCACTCAGTGCTAGTACAGCACCCAGCCCTCAGGAAAATCAGATGTCAAATAAAGGCATCAGATTGAACGTTTCTAAAAGTTCTGTTGACAACGGCCTTTGAAAAAAAAAGGTAAAGAGACTTTTGAAAAGGTGTTTTTTCTTACAGAGAAGGACAGTCCACATGGAAAGCAACAAGACACTCCAGATTACACCATATCCACACAGAGCACTGATTTTTTTACTGTTATTGTCTACTTGCACTTTTCCACTGCTCCTTTTTGGCGTGACAAGGCCAAACAAAACAAAACAGTCTGAGTGGGATTTAGGTGGTGGGATCCAATTTACATTTACAAATACAAAAGCCTTTGTATTTGTCCCATCCTTTGGCCGGTTGCTGATCTTGAGTCTCTGTAGCACTTCTGACTCTCCAGACACTGAGTGGGTGCTTAGTCGGATGTTGAATCCCAGTTCCAGGACAGTGCTCATGTGAAAACCTTATTTTATTCATTCAAACCCTTGTTTTATTCATTCTGACTCTTCATTTGCCTTGCTGTGCCTTTCCAGCTCAGGTGTGGAGAGCACAAACACAATCAAGACTTAGAAAATAAAACCCACGTCAAGGCAGTTCTTTGAGGAACTTCTTTGAGTTATCTGGGTTTATGAGCTGTCACACCAGATCTCCTACATGGTGAGTATCTGAACAGGAGGAGGATAAAAATCAACCTCTGAATTTTTCTAGTCCAGAATCTCCTCCAGTATCAGTCACTTCTCGGAAACAACAGCAGCACGTAGATCTGACTTCTGGGAATATCTCATTCCAAACTCTAGCAGTCATAACTAATTTATATCCCCCAGCAAAGGTCTTCTTTCTTTCTTTCTTTCTTCCAAATGTCTTACAGCATGAGCCCTAATAGCCACATGGAAACAAGTTTCTGATCACACTGGATGTATTTTCATATACCTATTTTAATAACATAATGCAGATCTTTTACCCAATGCTTCAAAGGAGAAATATCTCGTTTAGTGAGTGAGGTACTAAAGAGTAAGAACCTCACTGAAGGCACCTGGAGGAAGCAGCTCTTGTTGATGCACAGATGAATCCCATGGCATATAGCGAGTCCAGCATTTCTTGAGGATATTGGATCAATCCCACATGCACTGGATAGAGGCTCACTGTGCTCACAGACACTCAGTCACATCTGGCACGTGCTAAAATTCCTGTGTGTGCTGGTATATCCCTGCACAGAAGACTCTGGATAAAATAATGGCGACTTCAAATAATCATCTTGGCGTTTTTCATAGCAGCAAACATCTGCTTCGTGACATCCCTGGTTACTGTCAAAGGCAGCACAGAGAAGATGAGGAAATACAGACACTGGACTCCATGACAGGCTGATTTTCTGGGACATGCAGAGTTGTGGCAGGGATCAAAGCAGTGAAGAGGTGCCAAAAATGACAGATACATTGGTTCCATGAGAGAGATCAATGGAAGTGATGTGTCCCCAGCTACAGAGTATGTAAAGGAAAAGGGAAACCAGCACTGACTGAATGTGCTGAAAAATATTCCTTCTCACCCGGTTTTCCAGTGAGAACTGGGATTAATGTGCTTTGTTCTAGAAGCATTCTTGCTCTTAGCTTTAAAGCACTGTGTATGGAAAGAGACTGGATTAAGTTCAGTTTTTCTTAATGACTGTCATTAAAAATAGGGAAAAAAAAAAAGGGGAGAATCATGATGGAGAACTCCATTGTAGAAACAAACAATGAACGCCCAGGAAGAAAAGAACAATTACGTGATCTTTCTAGGGCAACAAGAGCTAATTATAAATGGAAAGAAATAGAGCTATTAGAACTATTTTTTCCTAGTTGAAAAACAACTGTGTAAATTTTCATTTTCATTTGACAAATGACATACTGAAAAATTCTGTATACTTTCTCTTCTTATGATTTCTCCTTCCTTACTGACTTTGTTCTAAAGAAGAAATACACAAAATAAAGAGGTACTTGGTGGTTACAACATGTGGTTATTTGTGCTCTGTGTGCACTTGCACTCACATAAGACAACTGGATGAGTAGATTTAATGTTCATGCAAACCAATAATGAGTAGTAGATGACTCATGACGGCACAGGCAACACTCAGTCATTATCCACAGAGCTTCTGACACATCATCCAATATTCATTTCTGTGCTTCAGTCGATGGTCTCTTCCTTGATTTTGGAAATGTTGATTTCCTTTTGCTGTGGATTGGTGGCACTTGATTTCCTCTGCTTAACCATCAGTCCAGGGGATGGGCAAGGAGGCAAAAAGGAAATCCCTGAATAGGAAGTAATATGCAGAAGAGCTCAGGTTGTCACTTGGGCTGCTGTTAGCTTCCAGAAAATGTATTTCATCCCCTCAGGCCTGTCAGCACTACATATGCATTTCCCTATCTCCTCTAAGAGCTGATCATAGTCCTATTCCACCAGCAAGACCAATGGCAGCAATGAGAGCCCAGATGCACATCACAAGGACAGCAGAAGTACCAACATTTGCAGCTCTCATGGACTCTAAGGTGTTGTAAAAGGGATCTCCACTCCTGAAAAACTTTGTGCCACATCACAAGGGAGGTAAAAGATCTGACATGACTACAGCAAAGCCTTGGCAGGAGCAGAACTGGGATACCCTGCTCCTTCCAACCAGCCACCCACAGCAGGAACAGGGACTATTCTGTGTATGAAGCTCCTGTAAAAGCAATTCTTGCTGAGAAGTCCTAGGTGCCAATTCTCCCTAACTCCAACTTTTGGGGAAGGAGTGACCAGCTCAGCCTATTTATTTTATGGATCTTCTCTGATTATATTCAAAGAAACAGCCAAATAACTACAAGAATGTCTCATTTTTGTGTATTTGTGTACACATGCCCACACCATGTAGAGCTTTAACTTTTCTTAGTGGAGTAGAACCATTTGAAAGCCACTGAGAAATTCTAAAGTGGAGAGCAAAAGATCCTTGAATGAAGAAAAAAAAAAGTTGTATTTATCCAAATAAACAACTATGATAATCACAGCTCTGTCTATTTTCAGGGCAAATGGGAATTTTAAGACAGCTCAGCATATCTGTTGTTTCAATAAAGAGAAGCTGATCAACCCAGATTTGAGCACTGTAGCCCCAAAAATAATGGATAGTGATTTTCATCTGGCATGAAGGACATGAGAGAAGTTCACAGGCTTTATTTAGTAATTTATAAGGACTCCTCACACTCTAGTGTTTGATAAAGGGGGGAGACATCCAAACTGTTCACAGCTTTGTCCATAACCCCCTCAGCACCTGTGCAACTCAGTGCCAGTATCACAAGACTAGTTCTGGGAAAACTGGCATGGGATGTGAGCAGTTTTTCACCAATAAGATCAAGGACCTTTATCCCAGAACTGAGCTGTGGCTTTCAGGCATCTGAACTCATGCAAAATGAACTCCTCCCAATCATGTTGCACTTTATTAACAACTCTGCTAGACACTCATCTAAAAAGCCTCCCAGTCTGTGTCTAAACAGCAAATGAAGCAGCCAACAGTCAATATTTGTCATCTCAACTGTGATTTTTCTGCTACTTAGAAACCACTGAACTCAACGACTGTGGTAAGTCTCAATATTCGGTGTAACTGCTTCAAAACTGCAAGTGCTCACATGAAGGTTGGACTTAAAATACCGACAACCAGTAACACCAGACAGCAAAAGTACACACAAAGTAAACACAGAGTAGCTACAAAGGCTGTGCCAACACATGGGCTGAAAACTGTGTCCAGTTCTGGGCTCCCCAGTACAAGAGACATGTGGACATGCTGGAGAGAGAGCAGGGAAGGAGCACATGGTGATTAAGGGGCTGCAGCATCTCCTTTGAGGAAAGGATAAGAAAGCTGGGACACTTCACTCTGGGAAAGAGAAGGCTCGGGGGGATT